TATCTAATAAAAATACAAAATTAGCCAGGCGTGGTGGCATGCACCTGTAATTCCAGCTACTCAGGAGGCCGAGGCAGGAGAATTGCTTGAACCTGGGAGGCAGAGGTTGCAGTGAGCCAAGATTGTGCCACTGCACTCCAGCCTGGACAAAAAGAGCAAAACTCTGTCTCAAAAAAAAAGTTATTTGAATGCCAAAAAAACTATGTGCAAATATGAGGTTTTATTAATAATACCTTTTTTGTGTAATCTAAGAGCATGTGTATGTAGCTTGCACACACTTCCCAATCATTTGTTAGTTGTTTTGTAAATATTTTCCAAGGTTTTTGAGGCATTTTGAATTCTTAATAAATTCTTCAACAGCAATAATGGGGATTTTAATTTTTTTGATTTTTTTAAAAAACACTGTTGACTGCCCAGTGAGAATATTTTTTTCCTATCCTCCCCCCAACAAATTCTCCAAACTACTTCGTGTCTATATTTACATCCAGTCAAATAAACATAGCCTTGGAGGATTTTACAAATTAAAAGCCCATTCCACTAATATGTCCCAGTGACACTGGTAGTTTCTGTTGGTTTTGTCTTTGCATCATTAGGCCAGTTCTTATTTTCACGGCAAAGGCAGCTCCAGCAGCAGGCAAATTAGAAACTCGAGGTGACTAGAGGCAAAATATGTTTCGAATCTTCTCGCAGCTACTTCTCTCTTTTTTGGGGGGGAGATGGAGTTTTGCTCTTCTTGCTGAGGCTAGAGTGCAGTGGCATGATCTCGGCTCACCGCAACCTCTGCCTCCCAGGTTCAAGCAATTCTCCTGCCTCAGCCTGCCGAGTAGCTAGGATTACAGGCATGTGCCACCACACCCGGCTAATTTCTTGTATTTTTAGTAGGGATGGGGTTTCTCCATGTTGGCCAGGCTGGTCTCGAACTCCTGATCTCAGGTGATCCACTCACTTCAGCCTCCAAAAGTGTTGGGATTACAGGCATGAGCCACCACGCCCAGCAGCTACTTCTTAAATAGAAGTAACCTACACAATGCAATTCATTCCAGAAACATTCTGATTTGCATCCCCAGAATCACACTCAATCTCGTACCAGACAGAGGGCCTGGCTAACTCTGCTAAGGTGGAAAAACAAATAGAACATTAAATAGCAAGGAAGACCAGAACAACTTCTAAAAATAAACACTAATTAGACTTTTTAAAAACAATGCTTAGTTCCTTGTTTTCCCATCAATGTTAATTTATCATGTTACTGCCTGCTATTAACAAACCCTTTTTACCAGTGTTAACAACATGATAATTTATAAAACACTTTTAGATGCATTATCTCAATACATCTATAAGGAATGCCCATTTAAAAAGATTAATAAAAAACAAAAAATGGGAGTCTTAGAAAAGTTAAGTAACTTACCCAAGCAGCCCCTATTCATTTTCTATGGCTGTGTGAAAAATTACCTCCAAGTTAGCTCTATGGTTTGAATGTTTCTTCCCACCAAAACTTCCGTTGACGTATAATCCCTAATGTACGAGATAGGGCGTTTAAGAGGTGTTTGGGTCATCACCAAATGATTTCACTCATAGGCGGGTGATGAACAATGAAAACACTTGGGCACAGAGAAGGGAACAACACTCACAGGGTTAGGTAGCGGGGTGGAGGGGAGCGGGGGGACAGCAGGGGGCGGGCAGAGAGGATGGAGAGGGATAACACTGGGAGAAATGCCTGATGTAGGCGATGGGCTGGGGGTGTGGAGACAGCAAACCACCATGGCATTTATGTACCTATGCAACCATTCTGCAGGATGCAGGACGTGCACATGTGCCCCAGAGCCCAAATACAATTTAAAAAAATGAAGAGGTGTTTGGGTCATGCTGCTCTGCCCTCATGGGTGGATTAATGAGTTAACAGATTAATAGGTTACCATGAGAGTGGTTCTGTTATAAAAGCCAGGTTGGCTCTCAGTGTGCTGCCACTACTGGATGTAGCTGCCTGATCTGGAACTTCTTACCCTCCAAAACTGCTAAATAAACCTCTTTTTAAAAATAATTTATCTAGTCTTGGGTATTTAGTTACAGGAACAGAAACCAGATTAAGACACTTAGCAATTTAAAAGAACAGTAATTTATTATATCAAAGCGTCCAAGAGTCAGGAATCCAGGCATGAATTAGCTAGGTCCTCTGCTCAAAAATCAAGGCAGAGGCTGCAACTTCACATAAGGCTTAGATTTCTCAAGCAAGCTCACATGCTTGCTAGCGGAATTCAGTTCCTTGTAGTTGCTGTTTTGTCTTAGAACTTGAGTTGCAAGTTTTCTTGCTGGCTGTCCGCTAAGACCAGTCTCAGCTCCTAGAGGCTGTCCTTGAGTCCCAGTCACATGACTTTCGCATAACACGGTAGATTATTTCTTCAAACCCGGCAGGAGACTCTCCAGTCAGCTATGATGGAGTCTTACTTAATGTAAGGTAATGCGATTGACTATCCCAGCATCTTTGCCATTTAACAGAAACTAATCAAGGGAGCCACTATCCCATCATATTAATGGTGGGCCCCACTCACTCTCAAGGAGAGGAGATTATACAGGGTGTATACACCAGGAAGCCGGAATCTTGGGATCCATCTTAGAATCCTGCCCTTCACAGATCTGCAGATAATAAATTGTAAGGATCAGAGTGCAAGTCTAGGTGATCCAGGTGATCCAACAGTTTTCCATGGGAGTTTAAGAGACGGGTCATCAAGAGGCCTTGTGCCCCTACATACACATCCTTTATCACATCCATTTCCCCTGTAGAGCTCCTTGTCAAAATCAGTGAGTCCCCAGTCCCCCCAGTAGAGAACACTGTTGAAGCATATTCAGTAGGATCTGGATTGGACTACTTGATCTTAGTATGGACCAGTCTGAGGTGGCTCAGGTAGGTATCCTGAGTGCCAGAAAACAGCACCACTGATGGTGGCACTCTCCCTGAGTGGCCAACAGCATTATTTCACCCAGTATGCAAATAGACCGGCCAGTCTGTTGTGGCTGTCAATTCCCTTTGAGGAGCTGCCATCCTTTGCTTCTTCACTTCATAGTTATATTAGTCTGTTCTCATGCCTCTAATAAAGACATACCCGAGACTAGATAACTTATAAAGAAAAGAAATTTAATTGACTCACAGTTCCACATGGCTGGGGAGGCCTCACAATCACGTTGGAAGATGAGTGAGGAGCAAAGTCACATCTTACGTGGTGGCAGGCAAGACAGCATGTGTAGGGGAACCCCCCTTTGTAAAACCATCAGATCTCATGAGACTTATTCACTACCACGAGAAACCCACCTCCATGATTCAATTACCTCCTACCGGGTCCCTCCCATGACATGTGGGAGTTATGGGAGCTACCGTTCAAGATGAGATTTGGGTGGGGACACAGCCAAACCATATCAATAGTCTTCCCAGTGGCTTTATTCAAAATATAGCACCACCTTCCCCTCTTCCCCAATTTCCAATCATAATTTGTTCAGAGAATCTTTTTCCATGTCCAGCAATTCTCAGTCACCTTATGACATTGTCCCATCACCTGGAATTGTCCCTCCATTGAGGTCATCACTAGCTGCCCAGCAATATTTGTTCTCTCCTTCCTTGGGCACAAAGCTAAAGTATATTTCCTAGCCTCTATTGCAGTGAGGTTTAGCCACATGGCTAGGTCCTCTGCAATGGAGATGAGGTAATGTGGGCTGCTTCCTGCTCTGGCCCATAAAAGCTCTCTACACTTACTCTTTAAAGTTCTCTCCCCTTGCTTTGGCTAGCTGCAAATATTGGTGAGGTCTTGGGGATGAAGAAGCCACAGACAGAAGGAACGTGGGAGAAAAGTTGATCCTCCAACCTGAGCCTCCTCTCAGAACAGAAACATGAGACATACAGTCTTCTATGGTGTTCAGGTGTTGCCTAAATGGTCTGTTTGTGACCTCAGCCTAATGTGCACTAACACGTTCACTTGTGCCTCCTTACCTCCTAACCCAGTGCTCATCACAGAGTAAGCCAACTGGTCAAAGAATGAATCAGTAGATATTTGTCTGTCTGAGAATCCTACTGTATTCTATTCATTTTCTTCTAGCACCTCAATAGAATTTCATATAGCAAACAATAAATGCTCTATTAAAACCTTTAATGTCAGCATTGAATGTTCTGGGTATTGATCATAGATCCCCTTGATGTTACATTAGATTTCTTGACCAATTTCATCACCTGTAAGTTGTTTTCCTATCTAGGGGCTAAGAGCTGCTGTGGCAGGTTGCCAGGCACCCTGGTTTCAACTTGAACTCTTCTGGTTTATAATAATAATAACTATCATTTATCAAATGCCTAAAATAGGACAGGCTATACACACACACACACACACACACACACACACACACACACACACACAAACACACACACTTTTCATCCGTATAGCAAAAAACCTGTAATGTTGGTATTATTATCATTATTCTTATGATGTACATAAGAACCAAGGCTCAGAAGTTGAGGAATTTATGCAGTGTCAGGAGGTGGTGAAAAAGCCCTCAGACCCAGGTGCTCTTTCATCTCTCTATACAGACTTCCTGTCTACTGCTGTTTCCACTTCAAGGTTTCTCTACCACTGAGCCATCTGCTTTCTTCACCAGAATGAGTAACACAGTCACTGCAAGCCCATATGGCACCTTTGTAGGAATTAGAACAAGGCGCCCCGACATCAAGATACTTTGATGTTATCTGCCAGGAATTTGTTGCAACAAATACACAAGTTTTCTATATCTATAATATACATGGTAGCACTCCTTAAGTTGTGCAGTGTTCAACCCACACAACTGTGTGGGGCTGTCCAGGGGTGGGGGGAATGATCATGTAGGTTCTGACCAGGTTTTAATATGATTGATCTATAGTGAGGTTACTGGTGCTGAGAAGACTCATTTTCTGTAGGAGTTTTGTGGTTCTATGTCTCCCTATTCTAATAAAAATTTAAAAAAATTTTTTTTAAACTGTCACAGATGACTCAAGAAGGCTGCTTTATTGTTTCCCCAGCTTGTATTCCTTTGACTGTCAACTCTACTTAGGAGTAGCTACCCAGGCCATGTACTCATTTTACTCCTTCCAGAAATGCTCTGGGGCCCTGAAGTCACAAACTTCAGGCCAGCGTAGAAGGAAGCACGTGCTGTCCCCAGTGGCAGAGTCAGCAACAGCAGAGTGGCAGATGATGCCGCCAAACCTTCCCTTAATGTTGACCTGGTGACCACATTGTCCCTTCTTTATTCTGCAAACTGCAAAGAGAAATGAGGGAAAATGGGTTCACTGGCGTATCTTTAAATGCATCAAAGATATATTTGTTCACCAAGGCAGTGTATTAAGTGGAACCTGAGAAGAAAGAAGATGAGATGTGTTAAAAACTAATAGTTAACAATAATACATTGTTTCAAAGAGCAAGATGGATATTGAATGTTTCCAACACAAAGAAATAATAAATGTTTGAGACGGTAGATATGCCAATTACCTTGATCAATATATTATATGTATTAAAATATCACTACATATCCCATGAATTATTTGACAATTATTATTTGTCAATTTAAAAAGTAAAATAAAAAGAATGTTGTTCGGGCGCGGTGGCTCACGCCTATAATCCCAGCACTTTGGGAGGCCGAGACGGGTGGATCACGAGGTCAAGAGATCGAGACCATCCTGGTCAACATGGTGAAACCCCGTCTCTACTAATAATACAAAAATTAGCTGGGCATGGTGGCGCACGCCTGTAGTCCCAGCTACTCGGGAGGCTGAGGCAGGAGAATTGCTTGAACCCAGGAGATGGAGGTTGCAGTGAGCCGAGATCGCGCCATTGCACTCCAGCCTGGGTAACAAGAGCAAAACTCCATCTCAAAAAAAAAAAAGAAAAAAGAAAAAAAGAATGTTATAGGGGAAAAAAAACAATATAGTAACCAGGGAACTTGAAAGGTTTAGGGAGGTATAATTCCCAGTGGCTGCTGCCCATATTCATAATTAGCAGTGTTTCTAGGTTTTTAATCTAGAAAATAAAATTGGACGTGGATTTTTCTGCTTCAGGAAAAGACTTGCTTCAGAGCAGAATGAATTATTAAAGTTAACTTTAAGCCATCTTGGAAAGAGCATTTGAGCTCTGACATCTGGATGGCCACCAGCCACCAGAGGTTACTTAGCCTCTGTGAACCTCGGTTTTCTCATCTGTGTAATGAGAAAGGGGGTACCTACTTCATAGTGTTGTTGTGAAAACGAAGTGAGAAAATTAATATCAACCATTTATCTAAGCCCCTTTCATTTAGCAGGCACCAGTAAATAGTAGTTATACTATTAATATAATAATAATATAAAACTAATATTAAACCTACCTTCCCCAACTGTGATAAAACATTTCTCCCCACTTATCTTACGGCATTTAGCAAAATTTCTCTCAAAACTCAACATTTACACCTTGAAAGAAATTCTGCAGGAATGAACGGCTGTAGTGAAGAATTAATTCTATAACATGTGATATAAAATTTGTATACAAAAATCACTATTTCCCATATCCACGCCCTCCAACTTTCCTGGCATGGATTATGGTAGCAATTTTACAGACTACAGTCTTCTGAGCCTGAGAGAGAAAGAATAACAAGTCCACTGAAATGAACTACCATGAGGAGGGGGAGTTTGGATAAAGACTCTTATTAGTAAATTGTGGTGGTCTCTTTAGACCTGGGATTCAGGTTCTCCAGCTGCCTGCTCCTACACTTCTGCTATCTGACCTGGATTTAGACATGGGACAATGTGCCCATAGAGAAAGAGAACTGGAATGTCTAGATTGAGCCAGGGAAAGATGAGGCTGGGCTCAGGTGTGAGTGCCTCCTGCTTCCATCCCGCTTTATCTCTTCTCTACTAGTCCTCAGTAAATAGAGGAGATACAGATTGGAAAGTTTCTGAATTGATTTTAAATTCCAATACGATGCAAATGTAGTTATACAAATGGCTGTTTGTTCAGGTAGAACAGATCTGAAAGAAAAAATGATAGGATGAAGTGGAGGAGTAAAAGACACTCCCTGTAACTGAAGAGCAGTGATCTTTAAAAGGTCCAGAGCTACCCCAATTGGATTGTAGAGGCTGTGTGGTATGCAACCTAAACAACTGCACATGATAATCCTAAATGAGTCTGAAATCCATTTCATATGCTTACTTCCACAAATGTCAAAGGCACACCAGTTGTGCTATCTCAAAGTATCCATGCCTCCCTCCCAGGCTGCTCTGATCAGATTACAAGGTCCAGCCTGAGGACCCACGGGGTTGGAAAACCTCAGAGGGACTCCTAAGTTTGAGGATCATTCTAGATATCAGGCACCACTGGGGACCATTATAGTACTGGTGTTCCTTTGAGTCCTGCTCTATAGCAACTTGGCACTCTGGGGTTGCCGGTTACGACCTATAAATAGCAGAGGGTCACAGGTTGTGTGTTTTTGGTGAAATAAATCCCTGGACCCTGCACACTCACTCCTCCTGACAGCATGGCCGTGGTGTCACCCTGCATTTTTCTCTGTTTAGTAGATGAAATACAGCCTAAAGCCAGAAATGAGAGATGCACAATTGCTAGTAAAAACTCATGGCTGATGTCAACTAGATGTCCTGGCCCAATCTTAAAAAGGGGTGACTCTCTCTATTTTTCAGGTAACTTGTGTTTCTCTGTACAGGAGGTGGGGTTGGCAATGCATCGCCTGTTGCCTGTCTGGAATAACTATGCCCTTAGCCAACAGCAGGCAAAACCGTGGCAAATGTGCCAGCAACACCATGCTACTTGTATGGATGGCCACTTGAAGGTGGATGGCCTTCAAGAGAGAAAGAAAATCAGGAGCTTTCCTTTCCTCCAGGCTCTGAAGCAGGGCAACAGGGGAAACATACGTCATGGCGCCAGCATAGGCAAAAATGTTGCATGTTACTTTTTTATACTATTCTATATTATATCATATTATATTATATTATGTTAATTAATCGTATTGTATGCCATCCCACGTTTATGTCATATCATATGGTACACATGACAGTACGATATAACACTCTTTTAGGGTGGAAAGCATTATCTGAAGCTTGAATAAACTCCTTAGGAAATTCCAAACATAATTTGTTTTGTATTGTTTTCTTTTTGTTTTCGTTTACATGTTGTTTTTGCCTCTCTCTTTGGCAGTTTGATATTGAGGTTAATATTAAAAGGATGCTATGAAGAATCCTACAAAACTGTAACAGACAAGAAAATGACGGGATGCTTTCTGGGTCAGGCTGAGCTTGTTGTGAAAATGGAGTCCCTGCAAAGTTTGATAATAGGATGATGAAGCAGAGAGATGCAGGGGTTAATGACACTGAAGAGAGCTTGAGGGCTGGTGATGGGGTGAGGAAAATGAGAGTGGAGCTGCACACAGGGAGGGGGGATGAAGGAGGAGGTTGCTAGGCAACCTCCCAGGGGCAGGGGAGAGAAATCCTGAGGGAGGAGGTGCTTTTGGAAGCGCTGCGGCTTGCCATGGGCAGCTATCTGTGGCCAGAACGGACGGGCCCGAGAGGTGGGTCACCTAGTTGGCAGCCGGCTGTTTGCCCGGAGCTGCTTCCTGCAATAATAAACAGTCGGGAGAAGTCAAGGGTACAGAACTTGAGCAATGCAGCAAACCATCTGAGCAGTAGCTGGGGTGCAAAATAAGAACGGAAGCTGTTCATTCTACAGCTCGTGCCCTGGAGGAGATAATGGCACAGCCAGTGGTGCCTAGGGTTGTGGTTTGAAAACACATTCATTGACTGCCAACTGGGTACCAGGCATTACACGCTAGGAGGCACAAAGGTTAAACCAGACATGATTCTTGTCTGTAGCAGCTCTTCATCTAGTAGGGAAGAAAGGCTTACAGACATGGGCATTGCTGATTAGCTATAGTCACGGGGTATAAAACAAAACCTAATTATTGAGAGTTTGGACTATGGAGCCAGGTACAAATCCCGGCCTGCATCACACCAGCTGTGTGCTCTGGGATAACTGCATCTTGAGGGAGTTACTTAATCTCTCATTCGTAAAATGTGAATGATCATAGTCCCTATGTCATAGGGTTGCTATGAGACCCAAACGAGCTGACAATGGTAAAGTGCTGAGGATAATGTCTAGCAAATAGTAAGATCTGTTCAATAGGTTCTGCATAGGATCTAAAGAATCAGGGCTATGAGCGCAGCGTTGAATGTGGCATACGTACCTTTCCATACATTTACGCTTTCAGACGCCCAGCAAGGGAACACTTGTGATGCTGGGGATCACCTGTTTCCCAACTTTTCTATCAAATGGTTCTTTGATTATCCTATTGCATGGTTCACACTGTCATAAGATACCTTCTCTGGGTGGAGGAAGTCACGCCTTTCAAACTCAGATACACAGCCTAAGGCAGAACGAGGTCTGAAAAGCGTAGCTATCAGTTTCCTCAGCTCTCCTTCTTGTCCTCTTTCCCTGCCACCTGGAATGGGGAAGAATAGGTGCCTTTCATGGTACATTTCCTTTGCCATCAGTAGGTTCCTGTGCTAGCTCCCTTGTCTGCACAGGGTCCCTTTCCCTTCTTCCCCCATCTACAAAACCCTGAAGGCTGCCTACAGTTTTCCCCAGAAAGTCATATAGGTGTCTGGGATGCACATATCGTTAGCCTTGCGTGTCCAGCTTTCCTGGCCAGGTAAACATGTTGCCTGTTCAACAAAAATAAATTTAGATCTGCAGATCGGCACACGATGTTCTTATTACCCCAGCCCTGTCCCTTGCAAGGGCCCCCATGGTACTGGGTTGGCAGGATCTAGAGCCAGCCTAATTGCCACACATAGAGACAACTCCAGATCAGCTGTACAGAAGACAGGGTATTTATGGCACAAACACTTTGCAGAAGAGACAGGGGAAAATGCCCTAAAAGAGGAAGAAGCATTGTCCTAAAGACCCATTTCTTCTGTTGGCCCTGGGATGCCCGCCCGCACCCCCCAGACCCCAATCTGTCCACAGAGCCATCTGGGGCCATCACTCCAGTGTCCCAGCGGCCCAGGTCCACACATTCTGCAGGCACATTCTACCTCAGGATTTTCCAGGACAGAGAAAGTTATCAGACTATTCAAACTTCCAGTTTTCTGTCCCCAAAGAGCCTTTTTGGTCAATTCAGATGAAGGCTGAGATTCAGAGTTTTCTCACTTGATTCCATGTGAGAGAACGAAGTGAGACCATCTTCAGGAAGACACGGCAGGAAGAACACCTTCTGTGTCAGTCCTAATGGGCAGAAGTTTCTCTTTAAATGTCTAACTCTTAAGGTGAACGGTAATTTTTGCATTAAATACGAGGGCCTCTTTGGGGAGATAGTAAAATGCTGCAACCACTCCCTGTGCAGAGACTCACTCTAGGCCCTGCGTGGTCTTTCGGCTGTTTTCATCTTCATCCATCTGGTAAACTGGCCTGGGGCCTACTCACAAGTTGGTTGGACCCTTGACCTCAGGCACACATCCAAAGCAACATGGGCCTAGATGGCCGGTCTGAGTAATGCCGGAGGTGCCATCTGTCCTGCAGGAAGACCATCTTCTGTGTCAGTCCTAAAGCATTGGCTCCATATTTTAATCACAGCTGGTAACTGTCATTTGCCAAAATGAAAGATACCTGAACAGTTAGGAAAGGAAGGCATGTGATTCTGGGGCAACTTTAAATATTAGCTAGAAGTTTCAAGCCACAGGAAGATCTCCTAGAAAAATAGGAATGATCACAACAAAATAGTAATAAATAAAATTAGAAAATTGCCCAAGAATAAGGAAGTGCCCAAACACTTAGAAAAACCCAGAAAGATTCCCATAACGTGCAGAATAACCTAGCCATAGATTTTTGTGAAAAATCAGAGCTACTAAAAGGATTCTGAAAGTCAGCCTCAAAGATAATTTGCCTTGAGGCCAGTATGTCTCATCTTTCCTCATTCCAGAAAATGCCCAGGTTTCTCCTAGAGAAATCAGAAACTCCAATATTTCTAGCAATATTTGGATGTCATGGAGGGGAAGTGACTACCCCCAGAAATACCACTGCTTACCCAATCCATGAAGTAAAAGAGTTAAAAGATATTTCTCTGCTTCAAAGACCTCTGGGCAAAATTAAAAGCAATTGCCAGAAAAGCCAGTTTCAAAACAATCTCTACGCTTGCATTTATTGAATGCCTGAGCTCCCTGTGGCCCTGGTTCTCTCCACTCCAGTAACATCCAAGCAGATCTTACAGCTCCTCCAGTCACCCAGATGCCAACTCCAGGCCAGACCAACGCAATCTCTTACCTGTATTTCAACTTTTGATTTCTATTGTATTTATTTAATGTTTCCTGCTTCCCCCTAGCTCTGGCCTGCTTTAGTTTGGGAATTCATTGGGGCAGGGCTGGGGGAAGAAGGAGGAGCCTGGAACATCGCAGTGAGGAGGAAGCCCCCTTTCTTCCTAACTTCCCTCTAACTCACAGGGTTTAGTTCAAGGCCCTCAGTTTTCAGCCCAGAGTAGAATGGATTAGAAGGAAACATTGGAAAGACATACACGGGTGTAATCTAGGGCTGATGCTCCCTGGACATAGACTTGTATAGTGTAGGTGGGGGTTTTAAAGCACAAGGTGGTATGTAACTTGCCCAGTTAGAAAGTGGCAGAGGATGGCTGGGTGCAGTGGCTTATGCTTGTAATTCCAGTACTGTGGGAGGCTGAGTTGGATGGGTCTCTTGAAGCTAGGAGTTTGAGACCATCTGGCCAACATAAAGAAGCCTCATCTCTACTAAAAACACAAAAATTAGCCGGGCGTGGCAGCAAATTCGCTACTCTGGAGGCTGAGGTATGAAAATCGCTTGAACCTGGGAGGCAGAGGTTGCAGCAAACTGAGATGGCACCACTGCACTCCAACCTGGGCAGCAGAGTGAGACCTTATCTGGAGAGAAAGAAAGAAAAGAAAAAAAAAAGAAAAAAAGAAAAGAAAAGAAAGAGAGAGAGGAAGGAAGGAAGGAAGGAAGGAAGGAAGGAAGGAAGGAAGGAGGAGAGAGAAGGGAGGGAGGGAGGAGGCAGAGCATGGATTGTGGAGACCCTATCTCAAAAAAAAAAAAAAAAAAAAAGAAGGAAGGAAGGAAGAGAGGGAGGGAGGAACAGAAAGGGAGGGAGGGAGAAGAGGCAGAGCATGGATTCTGGAGACCCTATCTCAAAAGGGAAGGAAGGAAAGAAGGAAGGAAGGGAGGGAGGGTGCAGGAAGGGAGGGAGGGAGGAAAGGAGGGTGCAGGGAAAGAGGAAGGGAGGGAAGAAAGAGGCAGATCATGGATTCTGGAGCCAACAGCAAGGATATTCTATTCCCCTTGACTTAAGCAATGTTGCTCATTGTAACATCCCCAGCATCAGGTAGTCCCCCACTCTGTCCCCCACACTTCTGCTGGGGCATGCTGCCATCCAAGGGTCATCTTGGCCAGAGTCCCTCAAGATGACTGACAGTCAGACCTCTTCAGTGTGGTCAACACTGGTGCTCAGGAAACACAACTCTGAGTGGCGAGCTCTTTGCCCAGAAGCCTTCTTTCCACTCTGCCACTGGCCAGCTACCCGGCCAGCCTCTAGCTTCTAATTTTCAGACACACATGAGGAGCCAGAACATGCCAGGAGACCCCAAATGTCCAAGAACTCCTGTCAGCCCCTTTAGAGGTAACCTGAAGCCATTTTTTCCTTGGCTTTTAGGTGAGCGAATCTCCTAGTACCCTGACAACCCATTCAAAGAAATCCTCTCCCTTCTATTTTTGTATCTTTTAAGGATTTCTTATATACGCCAAGGTGGGCCATAAGCTCAGGGGTGCAAAATCTGCCTCACAATCCCTTGACATTTCTTCTATGGGTGATTGGACATCTCCTGTTCTCAGACTTTGAGTCATTTACCAAAACTCAAAACTCAAAAAGAACAAAATAGAAGCTGCATTTGACATCCTGTTATTCACGGTAGAGGCAAGACTCTCCAAAACATAGTACATATACATGTGGAGAGTAATACTCTTCAAAACAAAACTCTGTCTCCAAGGTTCTTCTTTCTGCACGTACACACACACACACACACACACGCACACACAAAAGAAACAGCAGGGAGGAAAGGAGAGAGAGAGAATAAAGGAAAAGAGAAAAAGGGAGGGAGGGAAGAAGAAAGGAAAAAAAATGAAAAAAGAGACAACAGAGAAGAGATATAATAAAGGAAAGGAGGGAGGGAGAGAAGAAGGAAAGAAAGTGAAAGAATGAAAAAAGAAAGAGTCTAAGGAGAGAGAGAGAGGCCACGTGCACACAGACTGGACGTTGGTATCACTGGTGTAACTAACATGACATGAAGCCCTCTTTGTGTATCGTATATAACAGTTTATGAGTCTCTTTGTGGAATCTTCCAACAACAGCCTTTTTAAAAAGCTATTACTGGCTGGGCCCCGTGAATGACTCACATCTGTAATCCCAGCACTTTGGGAGGCCAAGGCAGGTGGATCACTTGAGGTCAGGAGTTCAAGACCACCCTGGCCAACATGACAAAACCCCTTCTCTACTAAAAATACAAAAATTAGCTGAGTGTGGTGGTGCATGTCTATAATCCCAGCTACTTGGTAGGCTGAGGCAGGAGAATCGCTTGAACCCAGAAGGCAGAGTTTACAGTGAGCCAAGATTGTGCCATTGCACTCCAGCCTGGGCAACAGAGTGAGATTCTGTCTCAAAAAAAAAAAATGTAAAGTAAGGTTTTCCTTTTAATAGAAAGCCACCCCAAAATCATTTTCTTTTCAACAAAGAGCAGTGTGTAAAAATCAAGCTGCAGACATAGAAAGACAAGCTAGAAGCTTGCACAGGTGAATAAATACCAGCAGCTGTGCCAATAGTAAGGGGCTAGCTGGGGACTAGGTATGTTAAAAATGGCGGCTATATCGTTCTTTTCCTTGTCATCCATGTGTACAGTAAGGAGCAGGCAACATGGCTACAGCCAGGAAAGACTCCATTTGCATAACAGAAGATTAGGGTGGGGCGTCTAGCTTCCTTGCATGCTATGAAAATGTCACACCTGGTCCAACCAATCTTTGGGCCCTGTGTAAATCAGATACTGCCTCCTCAAGCCAGTCTATAAAATCCTGTGCACTCCACAGCAGGCCAGCAGTCCCACTCAGGCACCCCTCTCTCACAGGAGAGAGCTATTCTCCTTTCTCTTTCTTTTGCCTGTTGAACCTTCACTCCTAAACCTACTTCTTGTGTGTCTGTGTACTTGATTTCCTCAGTGTGAGACAACGAACCTCCAGTATTTACTCCAGACGACGCCGCTTCAGTGAGTCCAATCATTGGGTGGGTTGAAATGAATGTTGGGTGAACACCTGCCAGGTATACCAAACCTCACTGCCTAATCAGCTGGGAAGCTTGTTAAAATATCACCACTGTGGCCCCAGAACTACTGAATCAGAATCTCCAGGGGTGGCAACTGAATATCCATATTTTTTCAAACCCCCAGGTAATTCGGAGGCAGCCCGATTTGGGATTCACTGCTGTAGAATGACACTCAATTATCTCTACAGTTCCAAGTTTCCATCATTCAATGCACACCCTGGATGTTTGAGATTATCCTTCATGTCAGACTTTCTTCTTCCCAGAGAAGAGGCCCCAAGGAAAATTCTTCAAAGTGTGGGGACCTCAAGGTCCTGATTCCAAACAGCAACAAACATGTGCTCAAAGATTTTCCTTTCTGAACAGTATTTCTCCCTGAAGACTTGTCTGTTTCCTCAGTGAAGCTATCTAAGCCTCCTAACCTCCCGCCAAGGCCACAGAGACCTCTTCTCCCTCCTCCAAACTCTGACCAGCAATCTGTGTCCTTTTTTCAGGGGAAGAGGGAGGCAAAGGGCACTTCTCATGTGCTGTTTTGTATCAGCTGTTAGAGGATTCAACAGGCCTGGCTGATAATGCCAGGCATCCCCAGCAAGTCATAAACTAATTGAGACACAAGACAAAAGAATAGGGCATGTGGAGACCAAAATAACATCCTTATTGTTGATAAATGTGCTATTAGACTAGCAGAATTTACAGCTGAGTCACCCTGTCATGGGCAGCACTGGAGACAGCTCTTCCCCGGAGCACAGATCCCACCCTTGCAACAACCAATCACAGGAGAGACAAAAGCAAGCACTTCTTCAGGCAGCCTGGCTCCTAACAGGAAAAGGAAGGAAGGGGGCTTGGCCCTGTGTGCCCTGTTCCTCTTCATGGCTCTCCAGTTAAAACACAGTGCCCCTCTTTTCTGGGGAGCGCTGGATGCTGGGTGGCCAGCTGAGTCACACAGGTGAACCCCCTCCACCGGGGACACCTCCATCGCCACCCCCAGAGCAGGAAGGAAGCTTCCTGCCTCCCCCACCACTTTCTTATTCTTTTCTACGTGCCTTATATCCTTGATGGGATGATAAATCAAGGGAATCCAGGGATTCTGTGTTATTGTCTGTTGGTTTTTCTTCAAAGTACCCGGCACTGTGCTGGGCAAATTGTAGACGTTAAAAAACCACATTTCTTTTTGAAAAATAAAGGACAAAAAACACAGAAGCAAAGAAATGACAGAGGGGACAGAGAGGGGAGGAAGAAATGGGGTTGGGGGATGTCGAAGATGATTTGTAATCTTATCTTAAATGAGGGCTTGGGGGTTTGACTCTGAAAGCAGGTGGCCTGAGTTCAAATCCTGCCTCTGCCCTTTCCTGGTATATTGCTCT